ACTCCTAAATACTTGTGCTGGAAAACAATCAGGTCACTATTGCATACGTTAGAAAAAATATTGATTTGGTGGAATTGAAGTTTGGAGTAGGTGAGTTTGGCTTTCTAAGTTTCAGGGAAACTGCCCTTGTTATGATCAAAACTGAACTTGAAGCAACTTCAGTCCACTTCTGTCTCTGCCTCAGATTTAGCTTCTCCYTGCCACTGTTCTGATATTCTGGTAATGATTTCTGTAGACCAGTCTGCAGTCAGCAGCTGAGGACAGCTAGGTCACCCAGTATCACAGTCTGTTCTTTGAAAAGTCTGAAAATAAGGTATTCCAAGTAGAAGATGCTGTTCTCAAGTATTACCTTCTTTAAATTCACTTGGGGGAGCCTAAATCCCTGCTTCTACAGACATCTTACACAAGTACATCTCTTTTATGCCCCAGACAGGGATATGTGACTTTTCACAGATTTCAAGTGTATGACTGAAATTCACAGCTCCATGGATTTTCAGGCCAGARAGGCTGTTGCATTGATCTAATCCGAGCTAATGTATAGCATGGATCAGGAAACCATCTTCAACTTCCTGCTTCACGTCCAGCATCTGCAGTTGAACTAAGATTTCGGTTTTTAGAAAAACACACTGCAGTTTAAGGTGAAGTTTAATTGTCTTTGAGGAGAAAAACTCCCTAGAGCTTTGGGTGGCTTGTTCCGATTAGTAACTTCCTCCAGTGGTCAAACAGGCCTACTATTTCTACATTTAATCTATCTACAGCTTACAACTATTAGTTTCCAATCAGCTTTTTGTACCCAAGACTGTAATATCCGCTGTTATCACATGCCTATCCTCCTCATTAGTATTTACAGAGCATAATTAACCTATGTCTTAGTCTTGTGTTTAATAAAGAAAGTCCCCCCAGTCTTATAAAACATGATCTCTGATTGTTTACTTACTCTCTCTTACTTTCTAAATTGTGCCCAATTTCTAAASTTTTTTTCTTTGAGGAACAGGCATYTTAAACATGCTGCATTTYAGCAATTTTTGCAACAATGACAGCAATTACATGACTTTCTGTAGCAAAAGAGGGAAAAACAGAAAAAAGGAAGTCACAGAATAGAGAGGAATGAAGAATGAATGGGTTAAAAAGAGACAAAAGAACAATTGAAAGAAAATGGAGAAAGAAGGAAAGACTCCAAAGTAGGATAAGGTAGCAGAGAGAGAAACACTAACTGACCTAGAAGCTCGGGAAGAAGGAAGAGATGATGAAAAGACCATGCAAAGCAGAGGTTATTTACAAGTATGCTTCCCTAAGTTATCCTGTCAGTTCCAAGAGGAACTGACATTCGATTCTCCTACCTATCCTTCCACTCTATTTTCAGGCAATCGGGGATCCCCAGTAGCGATCTTTGCAAGAGCTTTCCTGGTTCAGAAACACAGAGAATTGTGTTCAGAATTTTTTGGAAGCAGAGGTCATTAGCCCACAAGACACCAAACCAACTCAGAGCCTCCCCAAACCCACCACCTGTGTTAAAACAGCTCCATAACAGTGGGACTGCTTTTCTTCCCATCCCCTGCCCTGGAAATATCTGCCTTGCTTCAAGGCCAGCCCTTAAGCACCCAGAAGAAACAAAAGGCACATGGACACAAAGCACACATATGGAGCTCTGGGCTCCAGTCATCAGGCCTGGGACATCTGTGGCTTTCTGAGGATGCCTGCATGTTCAAGTAATTAGACCAAGGCCAGCTGTCCCCTTCTCATTCTTCACCCTTCATGCTCCCATTGTTTCTACCACCACTATCTGCCCAAACAATATTTTGTCTGATGGTTCACCAAAGAGTAGGTTTTTTGTTGTTTATTCTTTGGAAGATGGGAGTGGAAGAGGGCTGAGGCAGTAAAGAGGAGAAGGGACTTTTCTGAGTATATCTCATGAGACACTTCAATGTTTCCAAATAAGTTTTTGCAATATCAGAGGAAAGATTTGCTTTAACTTTTATATTCTGAAGTTATAAACTCCAAATGCTTGTACTGGTACTGAAAATGCAACCATCAGTAGTGAACCTGCCTGCTCAGAAAACCTTATTGCTTTATAGACAACTTTTTCTATTCTGGGCCTAATTTCCCTGTCAGTGATCCAGACGTAATTCAGGGAAATTAATGAACTATTTCAATCTCAACACTCTCCTGTTGCAACTGCTTTCTGAAATYTTTCCTGCCAATTTGTGCTAGGGCMACCTGGAAGTACTGTGGGACACAGGTCTCCATATCAGCGGGGGTGTCCACAGYGCTGCTGAAGAAACCCAGTGAAGCTTTTACCAGTTGTGGGAAGGCAGGAGCAAGAACAGAACCAACCCTTTTTCCTCAGCTGTGAAATTACATCTGCAGCTTTGCCCCAAAGCCAGGATGCCAGAGAGGCCCAAGCCTGAGCTAGGAAAGGAACACTGCTCCCCAGCCTGTGTTTACCAAGTCAGAGCATGACAAAGCAAAAGGCTGCATGTGCACTGAGCAGCCCCATCCCTTGACAGGGCAGGRAACGTTTGGATGATACATTTACTGCAGCCTGTGCTGCATCGTGCCTGCCCGTGCATCATCTCCATAGCAGCAGTTCTGCTAATTGAGACCAGCTGCTTCAATTCCAAATTCTTCTCTCCAGAAATATCGATACTACAACGTTATGATTAGAAAGCACTTTACCAAATGCCTCTCAATTCTGCACAGCTCAGATGAAGAGCAGCTGCAGAGAGAAGGGACYGTTCCCTGAACATACAGAATAACACACTGCAAAAGCACTGGAGAAATGAAGGCTACAAGAAGCAAGTCAAAACAGAATAATGATGACAAAGAAAGCAGCCTGCTGCATTTGCTTATGCCTGTCACTTTAGATGTTGAAAGGACTGTGAGGCAGACTTCTTCCTTATGCTCTAGGATAAATGGCCACAGCACTGCACTGTTACAGCTTCATGTGGCAGGTGTGCATGTTTGTCAGATCCAGCTTTTCTGTCCAAGGATGGATTAAAACAAAATCCATCAGTCTGGGCCTGGCTTGGAAGAGAAGCTGTGGTCTTGAATCCTTTGGCTCCAGGGGCTGCTCTGCACGGCCCACTGGCAAAGACAGACACTGGAACTGATAAGCTMCTGGGAATACTTGCAAAGTAGGAATGCCACCACACCATGGTGGCTTGGCCTCTCTGTTGGCTATCTCCCTGTGGCTGCTGGCTCCACAGAGCAAGCTGTCAGCTGGATGCTCTGCAGTGGTCACACTGGGATTGCCAAAATCTGCAAGGACYTTTCCCCTCCATCCAGACTGGATTAAACTGGCTAACACTACAGTCAATTCTAAATTCACTCAGAAGTCTCAGGCTCTGTCCATGACCACCAGACACAGGGCATTCCTGAAAACACATCCGGTTACTGAATTTATGTAAGAACTGGGCAAACCACTTCAATCCCATCTGTTGTTCCAACCTCCTGAGCACAGAGAACAGAATCCTTGAAAGAGAAAATTGCACCAAGAAGACTCAGAAAATGAGAACCACAATGCAACGTGTAATTTCCTCTGGAGAAGAATGCTGTACAATCTTACAGAAAACATGGCACGCTGCAGCATGTGGCWGTGTAAACAAGGGCCTAACACACCGTTTCACCACTCAGATTTCATACTACAACCGAGGTAATGCAACATAGCTAAAGCAGAGAGATCGCTTTGCTATGCTAAAGTGATTTGCCTCCTCTGAAAATCAGTGAGGTAAATAAAATGTTTTATACAAATACCAGACAGTGTCTCTCACTTCACAAGATGTTCATGTTTTTAAATAAATATTCTTATTATTTTGCTCTGGAAAGTATTCAGGGCTTAGTGCCCCATTCAGATTTTACCATTTACACACAATTTTCTTACCTATTTTACTTTCTAATCATATTAGAAGTCTGTTTGAATCCACAGTACTGCAGGGAGGGAATACATCAATGAAATTCCAGAAAAGTAAAGTCTGAACATGTTACAATTGAATAGAAACTTTCAGAATCCTTGTCTGAAAAAAATTAGAAACTTACATGTTTTGTGTAACATTCATTGCTGCACATTTGCTTAAACTCCGTTTTCCTTCTGCTCTGAGTAAGGTTGCTACACTTACTTGTGCTGGGAAGCAGCTGACACAGAAGTCCATATGGGAAACAGCAGTGTAAAGACATGCTTATATAGGGAAGCTCTGTGTGCTTATATAGGGAAGTCACCTCAACGAAGTGCTCAACACTGCATGCAAACCTGTTAGCGTAAYTTGCAGGTGACAGCGTGACGGAATTCTGTTGATTGCAGTGCAGTTGTGTTCCCTCCCATCAAGCTGAATTTAGCCCCTCTAGTCACCAAATCACATGAATAAACTGCTATGCATACATTTATTTTATTTTTAGGTTTCCAAGATCAATCAATGACATTCATGTGAGGAGAATCACAAGCTAGGTAAAAAACAAACTAAGCTCTTCTGAACACTTAACAGTCATTGGGACCAYCGAGACAAACACTTTGATGGTTTCCAATGGCACAGCTCTGTGGATTGTAAACAGAATTACAATCGCTTTAAGCAGTCATGGACCTTGGCAGATGAGAACATAAAGAACCCATGCAGTGGAACAAGCAGTAGGAGTATTCAAGTAACAGATCCACCAGGCTCTGTTAAATCTCTTCATACTGACATTTGCACACCTCAGCCCGCARTGTACCAAAACTACACTGTTGTAGTGCCTGAAGTCAGGTGCCCAACACACACAATGGCCCCAGCAGAGAAGCACTGACTGCAGCTGACCATTTATTTTGTGCACAAAGCACAGGCATTCTCCCATTTCATTTCAGCTGCCCTCACCTCCCCCATAACTAAATTATTGTTATTATGCTCCGCATAATCCTAGTACTGACAGGGATGTTTGTTATACATAATTAAAGATATTAATTTTGCATGGAACAGAAGACACGAAGCCAGGAACTTAATCTTTTTTTTTTAAATCTCACATTAGAAAATTACCTTCATTAGCACCGACTCACTGAGCTTCTCTCTGTTGACAATTTTTATCGCGACCTTCTGACACGTGACACAGTGAACCCCCAACTTCACAAGCCCTGCAGGAGAAACAAAGCAAAATAGAAWGAAAGAATTGGTTAGAGGTTGAGGATAGTTGTTGAGGTTTTTCCTATTAGAACACCATCCAGCTGTTGGCAACTTATATGCAAACAAATTCCCATTAGTATCTCTTCCAGCCAGAAAAGGTCTGGTGAGTAAAGACCCTGCAGCCCACATTGTGACCATTTGGCAGTGAAGCCACCAATATTGTTGATGCTCCTGCAGCTTCTGCTACTAAAACTGGTATTGTTGGAGCTCTGTAGTCCAACTTTCACCACTCAAAGTGCATTCTACCAGTAAGAAGTTCTGGYAATTGAACCACACTGGACTAAGGGCTTTTGCTGACACCTGACATCAACAAAAGCTTGGAAATCAACAAAACTAGATGGTCAAATGTTTGCAGTGTAGCCATAGCTTYTACTTTTCTCTAGCTCCTTCCAAAATTTCCATGATCACAGTAAAAAGCCACGTAATTATGGTTTCCCTTACTGTTTTAGTTTAACCTGCCAGATAAAGTTAACACTGTGATGAATGCCATTGTGGTGTGGAGGAACATCAGCAAGTACCGATACAATTCTAAGTTCTTATTTGTTATTACTTACTATATTCTTGTCCTCAAGTAAGGTAGTGTTGTTAATTGATTAAATTGGCAAAAGGATATTGATATCCCTATCAGGATTAGGATATTTGAACTATTATCAAAATATGGAATGAAACACCAAGAGTCAAAAGAAAGAGGTAAGTAACATACATGAGCCATTATCTTCTGCAAAATTTTCATCTGAATCTGTGACTTACATGTAGGTACATTGAGATACCTCCCACTAGTGAGTTTAAGATGGTCCCCTGAACTCTCAACTCTACTGCCATTAAGAACATTTGTTTTGGAAAAACAGAAACAGCTGGGAAAACTGTACTTTATAGGTTTTTCAAGAGAGATCTTGTTTGTTTCTTCAAGGTTTACTCTTGTCTAACATGCTCATAMAGCACAACACCTAGTAGGCTGGATCCCATCCCACTCCCCACACTACAWTACAAATTGCCATTGAGGTTAATTCCGTTATAACTGAATTAAAAAAGAAATGGCACCTCCCCAGTGTCACTAAGACCTGYTGTGCTTTGCAGAGCATTTATGAGCAATGATACCAAACAGGAGAAAAGAGTCTAAGTGAGTTCCCAGATCCTAGGTTAGGCTGCAGTTAAGAAGCCAACTCCGTCCGCTAATGTGAACCATGAAGACAAACGCAGTGCTTTATCTGGAACTTGAACCCGACAGTTTTTCAGCCCAGTGAAACACTGAACACAGGACTTCACATCTTATGAAGGGACAAATRGACTATTGCCTTACTATAAACTAGGCCCAATTAAGTGAACGAGAGTTTCATCGGGACTTCAGCAATCTTCTGCAGGTACTTGTCCATCCTTTTGCTACACAGTTAATCACAAATTTGGAACTATTAATCACTGGCTATTATGAGGAGAAATAAACTCCCAACTCGTTTCCAGTCACATCTCTTTTATAGCATGCACAAGTGTTCTGGATATTTCTAGTCACATAATTTCTCAGTCTCATCTGGTTAAATGCTGACATCCTCACTTTCAGCCACGACATAAACAAGTCACAAAAAGTAAGAATGCAATGCACTGACAAATCCATTTGAAACTGTGTATAGCAAGAGCATGTCCTCTGCCTGARCCAACCGAGAAGCAGAGCTGGGGGAAGATGCTGTGATGTCCAGCCACACTCACTCTTCTGTCTGCATTTTTCCTATTCAATTTATAATATTAAGCAAAGCACTACTGGCTCTATGTTCACTGTTCAGAGCACCCACAGCCTTGCTGACACTTCTTCTCTTTGGCTTTGTTCTGTGTTTGGATGGAGGCTACTCAGCACCACCCTGTTGAAAGCGTGCACTGTTTCAATCTGTGCCGATTGCTTCCTTCCTGCTTCTAGCACAAACCACAGCCTTGCATCACTCTTGCAGCMCAATGACAGCACTTTTACACTGCTCTTAGTTACACTTCCAAAKCGCAGCAGAACTGCTAACTCAGTCCTTCATATCTAGACTCCCAGGATCTGTGCACAGTGCTGTAATGTAACATGGTGCAGACCAATTATTTTCAGAGGTCAATAAAGGTGAGAAACAACTGCTCTCTAGCTGGTTCTTCACTAGTGATATACCAGACTTTGATATCTCAGGGCTGGAWTTCAAATCTTGTTGCTCCCAAATCAAGACATCTGTCCCACTGATCATGGCTGATTTGTAAACTATTTTTCTTTTGTGGTCCCTGAAGCACCCTGACATTGAGCCGTGGAAGGGTTTAACCATGAACTTCTGGGACACTGTCACACTGCACAAGGTATATTCACCATGTCCTCTGTCCTTGTAGCTACTAACAAACCACAGAAATTCAAWAATTCAGACTAAACCATTCTGTTTACTCCAATAAAATGTTAGAAGACACCAAACACTTTGCAAAAATAAAACCAATACTGAATTACACTGATTTTATACTGAATTAATTTCACTGACCTCAAGAAGCCATTCTGAATTTATACTATGGTATCAAAGGGCAGAATGAGAAAATATGGGAGATTTAATGCATCTTTCCTTTTTGCCTGATTTGCATTTTAAAAATCAAGAAAAGAAATGCACTGTCATTGCTGTCTGTTTTGTGGAGATAGAAATTTTAGACAACCCTCYGAACAGCCCAAGATAGCACTTTTCACTGTACTAAATTCACTGAAAGTAATTTTAGGATAAAAATAAAACAYGTCGCTCTGCCTTGCTTGCTCCCTCCTCCCCTGACCACTTCCTTCTGACATTTGCATGCCAGCCTAAGCAAAAAAACCAAAAAAATCCCTCTTAGTAAGTTCTTCTATAGGATAACACCCTCCTGCTCCTATGAAGAAAGCCTACTTGAGCTGGAGCATGAAGGGTTTGTACTCAGGACTTTTGTTTCTGTCCTGTAATTTCAGTCRATTGTGTAGCTACTGAGAGATTACTTAAATGTGGATTTGAGATTCTGTGGGCTTCTGATTCTTAAGATGCCCTTCCACTGACAGAGAGAACATAAACCATTCAAGATGCATTATTTATCTACATAATAACAGACCTTAGAGAGAAGCAACTGTGTGCATATACTGCTGAGCTGTTATTGAAATAATGGAAGTGGCAGAAATGCCTGCTTGGAAACAAGTGCCCAAGGTGTGTTTACAGGGTTGTTGAAGAGGCASTGCATCTTCCATTTTTTCCTCTCTCCTGTATATGCAGCTGTTAATGAGCAGTTCATCCTCCAATACAGATGTGTCAATAAGTAAATTTGTAAATTTTGTAAATCTTATTTGTAAATCTTATCTACACAGGCCATGACAGGTACCTGCATCTTCTGCAAAGGAAAACAAACAACGCTGCTGCTGCCAAGAGGATATTTTGCACTGGYTTGGCTTACAGCAAGTCTGCCAGGCTTGACAAATAGAGCTTGAACTTGTCAGCTTCATGAGTAATTAACCCCTCAAATGCAGGCAAGTAACCTTTGTGACTACTRAAGTTAACTGTGGTCTGTCCTGACAGAAAATCTAAGATGCTGTGGGAATCAACTGCTTGAAGTTTCCCTCAACCACCCACATAGCTGTCACACGCTCACTGCTTCAGRCACACCTCAGATCTCCATCTATAGGTCATTCCTGGGGACTCTGGACACTGACATGCTGGGGCTTTCAAATCGGTTGTTGCATSCAATGAACTGCAAACATCGGGCTGCTTTTGATCTTAGCCACTGAACTGCATCAGAACCAGCCCTATAATTGCAGTTTGGGGAGTAAAGAAGAAAACAGTAACATGCTGAAGAGCAAGGGGATGTGTAAGTTAACACTGTCTTTTCATAATTAAAAGCCACAATTTGGAAACCAATGAACATGAGAAACCCCAGATGACACAAAGATGCCATTGAAGGAAGAAGAGCAAAGGGAAGTGTATAGGCCTCATAGAGCCCAATGAGGCAGTGACCTGCTAAYAACTACGCCTGTGCATTTTGCTGCTGGCAAACTCCCACTCTGTGGATGCTTACAGATACACAGATCTTTTTTGAAAAGGACAGGAGCTTATGTGATGAGCAAGGGACAGATTTAGTTCAGCTGGAAAGGTGGACAGCCCATCCTGAAGCAGTACACAGAGAAGATGCTTCTTTTACCCAAGAAGAATACTCTGYGGAGATGGAGAAATAAAAGCTTCCCTCTAGCTGAGACAATATATTCACTGTGAATCCATGACCACAGCAAGTGGCCAATATTATAACTGGCAATCACCTTCATGACTTTTCAGCCAAGGACAGGATTTCAGAAGAGACACATTTACTTTTGCCTTGCATTTTGTATAGCAATTTTCTCGAGCAGACTGAATAAAGCACTAAGAGTTCGGAGTTGGTGCTATTTGATATGCACTTTGCAGTTGTGTAAATAGTAGCATCTTACTAATGATCCTGTTATTACAGCTCTTCATTGGAGAAAGAAACATTCTAGGAACAAGAGAGAATGTTTTTAATACTATCCAAACTTGAAGTCTGCCAAAGACACCGAYTGGAAAGAAACTATTTTTTAAGTGCGAAAGGGAGAGTAATAAATAATGAAACAACTCTGTTGTTTAAATACAGCACTTATTGTATATTCATTGTCAATTATATTCCCAGTCTTTTAGAAATGTTAAACACAAGTAGCTTGTTATCCTCATTTTTAACCGTACGGACAATAACTACTTCAAAAAGTGAAGGTACATTTGCTATATTTAGTACATATGATTTTTTCCAATGGTAAATGGAAGTCTTTTGTTTTCTTTCAAAATAAAACCAACCTAAGTACTGATAAATTTCTGTAGTACGGAAACTAGCCACTGATTTTCAGAAGATCATCTGCACACACATGTTGCTTGCTCTTCATTTCACTTCAGAGCGCATTGTCAAAAATTTAAAAAACGAGTGGAAAGCCCTGGTCTGGCCAGCA